GTACAGCCACCCACTTTTTATTAGTGTGAGCAGTCAGGGTATATAAAAAGATTTTTTCCTCAATTGAGTAACACACCTGGTACATCTGGTTTGAGGCAGACATAAAGCCACCAGCCTGAGCAGTCAGCACAGGCCTTGAGGGCCAATCAAGGGGCCTTTTCGGCTCAGTCAGTGCATTAGACGTATGCTCCGAAGGGTGAGCAAGTAGAGCAGAGACCTTCAAGGCGTGTGTATGCTGTTACTAGGCCAGACTTAGTCCCAGCGCCTTCAGTTGTGAGAGGTACTTTCTTGTTATGCAGTTCTATTGCCAATGTGTTGATTGATATGGGTGCATCCCATTCTTTTATTTCGTCTGCCTGTGCATCAACCTTGGGGTTAGAATTGGCTCAGTTAGCATCCCCACTTAGTGTAGAGTCACCTATTGGTGGTGAGATTGTCTTGGAATATGGGGTGTCGGGGTTGTGAGATAGAGGTTGCTGGTTGCCGACTTCCTTTTGCATTTGTGTTGATTGACATGTCGAGTTTTGATGCTATATTGGGTATAGACTAGTTTTCATCATATCGGGCTGTCATAGATTGTTACCGTCAGAGGGTTACTGTATGTACCTTGAGCGGTGATTGTTTTTATTTCATGAGGGACAGAGCCAATAGAGCTTCATTGTTCATATGTGATCGGCGAGGTCGGAGTGAACTTAGTTGTCTTTTTACAAACTTCTTGGGTAGTGAGTGTGACGAAGTCCGAGTTGATTTGCCAAGGGTAATTTGTGAATACCCGGACATCTTTCCTGAGGATCTCACTAGTTTACTACCTCACCGTGAGATTGAGTTCTCTATTGATTTAGTGCCCGGCACGACACTAATCTCTATGGCACTATGTAGCTTTGTACCCATTGAATTGAGTGAGTTGAAAATTCAACTCCAAGAATTGCTAAATAAAGGTTTCATTCGCTCTAGTACTTCGCCTTAAGGAGCACCGACTCTTTTTGCCAAAAATAAAGACGATGCGTTGCGACTTTGTATTGATTAACTGAAGTTGAACTAGGTAACTATTAAGAACAAGTACCCAATGCCTCGCATAGATGATTTGTTTAACTAGTTGAAGGAGTCTTGTTGTTTCTCTAAGATAGACTTGAGATCAGGTTATCACTAGTTGTGGGTAAGGGAGGAAGATATCCAGAAGACGACATTTCGTATGCGGTATGGCTATTATGAGTTCCTAGTGATGCCTTTTGGGTTAACCAATGCACTAGCTGTGTTTATAGATCTAATGAATTGAATATTCTGTGAGTTCTTAGACCGTTTTGTAGTCGTCTTTGTTGATGACATCCTGATTTACTCACCCTCCGAGGAGGAACACGAGAAACACCTGCAGGTTGTGCTTGAGTTTCTTAGAGTCCACAAACTATATGCTAAGTTCGGGAAGTGTGAATTCTGGTTGAGAGAAGTAAAGTTTTTAGGCCATGTGGTATCCAGGGAAGGGGTGACTGTAGATTCATACAAGATAGAAGCAGTACGAGATTGGGAACAACCTAAGAATGCTTTTGAGATCAGTAGTTTCTTGGGATTAGTTGGGTATTACTGTCTGTTCGTGGAGGATTTCTCTAGGTTAGCCTCACCGTTGACTAGACTGACGAGGAAGGGGATCAAATTTATGTGAAGTGAGACTTGGGAGAAATCATTTCAAGAACTTAAGGTTAGGCTTACCACTGCTCCAGTGTTAATTATTCCGGAGAGGGGTTTAGGCTATTCTGTGTATTATAATGTTTCACGAGAAGGTTTAGGTTGTGTTTTGATCCAAGAGGGAAGGGTAATAGCTTATGGCTCACGTTAATTGAAAACACACGAGCAGTACCTCACTCATGACCTAGAACTAGCAGCCGTGATCTTTGTTTTGAAGATTTGGAGGCATTACCTGTATAGTGAGAAGTTTGAGGTAATGCTGTTGGGTGCTATTGGTGAGTTGCAAGTTCGTTGAGTCAGTTGCTTTGTTTTCAGTAGTTACACAACTTACACTTGTGAGCCAAGTTATAGAAGCACAGAGGGGTGACCTTGAGGTAGAATCCCTCCTGGAGAAGATCCAGCTAGAGTCTTACCGAGAGGAAGTAATTTGAAAGTTTCACCATTCATACCTTGCGGTGCATCCAGGAGGCATAAAGATGTATAACAATCTTAGTTGTCAGTTTTGGTGGAAAGGGATAAAAAATGATGTAACCGTGTTTGTGTCGAAGTGCCTTACTTATCAACAAGTGAAGGCCGAGCATTAGAGGCCAATAGATTTGTTGCAACCCTTGCCTATAGCTGAGTGGAAGTGGGAGCATGTCACGATGGATTTTGTTGTGGGACTCAATGGGTAATGATGCCATTTGAGTGGTAGTTGACCGATTGACCAAGTCAGCACACTTTGCACCTATTAGAGCTGTGCAGCGGATCCACCGGCCCGCCACACCCGACCCGACCCCTAACGGATGGATACGTGCCACGTGGCGGGCGGATGTGGGCCTGATTTGTGGCATTTTTCGGGTTCGGGTCGGGTGGTGGGTAATCCGCCATTTTAGTCACCAGACCCGACCCCTCTTTTTTTCTCTTCTTCTGATCTGAGTCTAATCTGTTTTTTTTTTTTTGTTTTTGTTTTTGTTTTTGTTTTTGTTTTTGTTTTTGTTTTTGTTTCCAGTTCTAAAACGAAATAGATGGTTAGATTGATCGATCTACAGTCTACCACACTGACTGTAACTGAGGTATCTCTCTCTCTCTCTCTCTCTCCTTCTTCTTCTTCTTCTCTTCTTCTGAATCTTAACTGGTTTTTTTTTTTTGGTTCCAGTTCTAAACTTCTAATCTTTTAGAGTCTGATCTATTATTATTATTTTGTTTTGTTCCAGTTCTAAAACTAGAGACGTGGTTAGATTGATTGACACAATGCTAACTGTTAAGGGTTCTACACACAGAGAAAGGAATACAGAGAGAAAACCATAGAGAGGTTTGGTTTATTTTTTTTGTTATTTGCTTCTGCAGTGGATTTTGTGAGGGACTTCATAGAATCTGTTTTGATTCAGAATCTGTTTTTATCTGTTCACAATCTGGAATTAATCTGTTCTGTTTTGAACAATCTGTTTTGTTATTATCAGCCTTTTATTTTATTCTTACTTCTATTATCTCTTAAAATACTAACATAAATATAACAAATTTTATTATATAAATCAATAATTAACAAGTTGAGATATAATATGGATTTAACTTAGGATTGGTAAATAATTTCTTGATCTTGACAATATTAAAAGGGAGGAATAGTTTTAAAGTGAAGTTTTTATGTCAGAAAAATATCTCTAATACTTGAGTTAACTTTAATTGAGACTGTGGAAGTATGGGCAAAACATTTTAAGGTTAAAGATTCTTTCTGATGTCATTTCCTTGCCCTTTTTTTCGCATGAGTATGTGTTTGCTAAGGTAAGAACATTAGAAGGTAAAGATTAAAGCATATGCAACAAACAGAGAGAAGGAAAAGTGTTCAATACTTCATAGTTCATGGGATGGGAGTGAGCTAGATGGCTCCAATTAGCATAACTAGCTGAAAGTACAATTTATTGGGTTGAGGCCTAGGGTGTGTATGTGTGACAAGGCCTGTGAACATAAATATAGCCCAAATCTAATCTAACCTATTTACTAATGGGTTGAACATTTGGGACAATTTTTTTTAAGAATGTTAATTAATGAGTAGGATTTTTGTTTAGTGACATTACATTAATTTGTCAGTGAACTAAATTTGTTATTATAAATCAAATTATGATAATATATCACTTAGCTTGTTTAAAGATTAAACTTTAATCTATTATTATTATGAATCAAATTATGATAATATATTAGTTCTGTTCTGTAATTTAGTCAGTGAACTAAATTTGTTTAAAGATTAAACTTTGATTCATAATATATTAGTGAACATTAAACTTAGTTCTGTTATGTTCTGTAAAATTTGATTCATAATATATTAGTGAACATTTAAACTAATCTCATTAGTCAGTGAACATTAGTCAGTGAACTAATCTTACTTAGTGAACATTAGTTAGTGAACATTAGTTAGTTTAAACTTACTAATTCATCTTACTTAGTTTAAAATCTCATTAGTCAGTGAACTAATCTTACTTAGTGAACATTAGTCAGTGAACATTAGTTAGTTTAAACTTACTGATTCATCTTACTTAGTTTAAACTAATCTCATTAGTCAGTGAACATTAAACTCTGTCCATTTAATATCCTTCTTAGTTTAAACTAATCTCTTAGTTTTTCAAAAAGAGCATGGATTTGAAAAGCATATTTTGAATGATTTTTTATTGGTTGTTGGCAGTTTATTTGATAATCTTTTGGCCATGGATCCACCAAGTGAAGAAACTTTTTTTGTGAGTCCTAATGTTGAGCCTGAATCATCTTCTATTGATCCCTCTACCCAATCTAATGCTCCTCCTCGTAGACCACCCTTGGCCAAAACTAGTAGTAGTGGGAGAACAACATCAAAGGCTTGGGATCATTTTGAAAAGACTAAGGGCATTGATGGGAAAGATAGGGCTATGTGCAAGTATTATAAGAAAGAATATATGGTAGGCTCTAAGAGTTATGGAACAAGTAATTTGTTAAGTCATTTGAAAAATTATACAAAGTATCCATATAGGGATACTCATGGGCAACAATCATTGGGATTTAAATCTAGAGAAGTTGGTGGGGAAGATGTTGTTGATGTTGTGGCTACGTCATTTTCTGTAGAAGTTGCTAGAAGGCATCTTGCAGAGATGATAGTAATAAATGAATTGCCCTTTAGATTTGTGGACGGGGTTGGTTTTAAGAGGTTTTGTAATGTCATGCAACCCAAGTTCAAGATTCCATCTCGATATACCGTTGCTAGGGACATTCTAGACATATACACCAATGAAAGGGAGAGGTTGAAGAAAATTGTGAAGGGGTGTAGAATTTGTTTTACCACGGACACATGAACTTGTATACAAAATTTGTGTAATATGTGTCTAACTGCACATTTCATTAATGATGATTGGAAGTTACCAAAGAGGATCATAAATTTTTGTCAAGTTGAAGACCACAAAGGAGAAACTCTTGGTAAAAAAATTGAGGCACTTTTAAAGGAGTGGGACATTGATGGCCTTTTTACCTTAACTGTGGATAATGTGAGTTCCAATAATCTAACCATTAGATTCTTGAAACGAACAACAAAATTGTGGAAGGGAACTATCTTGGGCCATGAATTTTTACACATGCGTTGTTGTGCGCATATTCTAAATCTTATTGTTAGTGATGGATTGAAGGATCTTGAGTTTTGTATAGCGAATGTGAGGCATGCAGTGAGGTATGTGAGGTCTTCTCCAAGCCGCCTTGACACTTTTAAAAATTATGTGGAAAGTTTGAAAATTGAGAGTAAGAGTCTCTTGTGCCTAGATGTGCCAACACGGTGGAATTCAACATATCTTATGTTGGAGGCAGCAGAAAAATTTGAGAGTGCTTTTCAAAGAATGGGTGAGGTGGACTACAATTACAAACACTACTTTTTGGATAATGAAGGGGGTGAGAGGAGAGAGATGCCTACAGCCGAGGATTGGGATAATTGTAGGGTGTTTTTGAAATTTCTTAGAATGTTCTACAATGCCACAACGAGATTTTCTAGGTCTTTATTTGTTACTTCAAACACATTCTACACTGAAATTTTTGTCATTGAAAATTTGATTGGACAATTAATCAAAAACAATGATCCTATTTTGTCTTCAATGGCAAAGAAAATGAAAGAGAAGTTTGACAAGTATTGGGGAAATGGGGATAAAATCAATCTACTTTTGTATGTTGCGGTTGTGCTTGATCCTAGAAGAAAAATGAAATACTTGCAATTTTGTTTTTCAACAATTTTTGGTGGAGATATGGTGAAAGTGAAAGAAATGTTAGATAAGGTAAAAAATTGTTTGGGCAAATTGTATGATCATTATGCCACACTTGAGCCAACAAATGTGCATGCCTCCAATGTAAATGAAAGAGTAGATATGGTGATAGCTGAAAATGACCCACACTCTATTGTGAACTCTCAATTTAACTCATTTTTTGAGGGGCAATTTTCTAGTAGTGGGAGTATGTCGGAATTGGACAAGTACTTGGGTGATATTAAGAAAGGTGGGAATAATTCTCAATTTGATATCTTGGAGTAGTGGAAGGTTAATGCAACAAAGTATAGAGTATTATCACTTATAGCACGAGATGTGTTGGCGATGCCTATTTCCACTGTTGCTTCTGAGTTGGCTTTTAGTACAGGAGGTCGAATACTTGATCCATTTCGTAGTTCGCTTGCTCCCAAGATGGTAGAGGTTCTTGTTTGCGCACAAATTGGCTTCGAAGTAACATTCCAATATGCCTTAGACAAGCAATGGAGGATGTTGAGCAATTTGAACAACAATATGATTCGGGTAATATATACAATGATTTATTTATTTTTTTATCCATTTCATTTATTTTGTATTATTCAAAATTCATTATCTTTACTTTACATATTTTTGTTGTGTTATGTTTTTTGTGTAGTTGTTTCGAAGTGAAGCTCATGTTCAAGCCCAAGTCCGGAGACTAATTTTATTGAAGTTTAATATTATTGGTAAAATATTTCCCCTTGGTTAAATGTTGTTAACATATGTTTACTTGTTTTAAGTTTAAAACTTTTTAGTGTTTTCTTTATTAAATAATTTCATTTTTTTGTTGTGCAGGTTTACATGGCTCATGATTTGGTGAAAAGAAATGAATGGTTTTTTTGCTACTTTTTGGATGACTGTAACTTATTTTTTTTGGATGCACAATATTTGTTGGATGACTGTAACTTATTTTTTTTGGATTCACAATGTTTGTTGGATGACTGTAACTTTTTTATTTTTGGAACTCTTGGATGATTGTTACTTGGATAGATGCACAATGTTTTCCTTATATTTTATGTGTAAGATGATTTATGTATGTTGGATGCACAATGTTTTGGGTGATATTGAATTATGGCCATTGGAACCAATATTGAATTATGCCCATTACAATCCAAGTTGCACTAGCAGCGGGTTTCATAGATGTTTTCCAAGTTTCATAGATGTTTTCCATGTTTTCCAAGTTGCACTAGCAGCAGCAGGTTTCATAGATGTTGAATTATGCACAATGTTTTCCATGTTTCGTAGATGTGAATGAATAAATGATTTTGAATTATGATGTGAATTTTTTCCATGAATAAATGATTTTGAATTTTGAATTATGCCCAGGTTGCATTGCCGATTGTAATGCATAAATAGATGTTGAATTATGCACAATGTTTTCCATGTTTCATAGATGTGAATGAATAAATGATTTTGAACAAATGATGTGAATGTTTTCCATGAATAAATGATTTTGAATTTTGAATTATGCCCAGGTTGCATTGACCATTGTAATGAATAAATAGATGTTGAATTATGCACAATTTTTTATTTATTTATTTATTTTTTGTATGTTGAAAACTTGTAAAATTTCAAACCGCCAAACCGATTCGCATCCATCCGCCAAATCCGCATCCGCCGGATTGGCGGACTGATACGGATTGATTTTCTCCAATCCGCCAATTTGGCGGATGGATGGCGGATTGGAGGTTTCGTGGCCGCAACCGATCCGCGCCCACTCGTAGCACCTATGGACACGAATGACTAAATAGATTATCTAGCTGGCCTTTACATTAGGGACATAGTTTGACTTCATGGGGTCCCTGTGACTATTGTTTCAGAAAGAGATCCGCATTTTACAGTTCAATTGTGGCAAAGCCTACAGAATGCCTTGGGCACTAAGTTGACTTTCAGTACTATCTATCATCCTCAAACCGACAGGCAGTCTGAGCGTGCTATTCAGATCCTGGCGGATATGCTTTGAGGTTATGTCCTTGACTTTAAGGGGTTGTGAGAGAGGCACTTGCCCTTAATGGAGTTTACTTATAACAACAACTTATAGTCGAGTATTGGTATGGCACCGTTAGAGGCCTTGTATGGCCGACCGTGTAGATCCTCCATGTGTTGGGCCGAGGTGAGTAATGCACCAATGTTGAGTCCAGAGTTAGTTCAGAAAATGATGGAGAAAATTGCACTTATCCGTAAAAGGTTGGTTATGGCTTAAAGTCATTAGAAGAGCTATGCTGACTGTAGGAGGAGACCATTGTCCTTTGAGGTGGGGGATCACGTCTTCTTGAAGATATCACCTAGACGGGATTTTATGAGGTTTGGGAAGAGTGGGAGGTTGTCTCCTAGGTTTATTGAGCCTTTTGAGATCCTAGAGTGGATTGGGGAGGTAGCTTATCGTTTGGTCTTGCCGCAACAACTTTCCAAGGTACATAACGTGTTCCATATCTGTATGCTTCGAAAGTATGAGCTAGATCCATCACACGTGTTAGATTGAACTGAGTTAGTGGTTGATGAGGATGCCTCGTATGAGGAGAGACCGATTAGAGTTTTAGGTACTCGAGACTAAGTCCTATGAGGCAAGACGATTCCTTTGGTAAAAGTGCTGTGGTGACACCACGGGGTTGAGGAGGCCACTTGAGAGCGCAAGGCAGAAGTCCGTGAGAAATACTTGGATTTATTTGTTAATGTTTGAGCATGTATTAAAAAACCTTGTTATGTTAATGAAATATAAGCATTGTATATGTTTTGAAAATGTGAATTGCATATTTAGTATTGGAAATTCGTTTATTATGTTGATGGGAGAAGATGACCGGTGGGTGGGTCATGGTGTTGGTTATAATTTGCTATCACTGTTTTAATTGGTTTAAACCTTGTTTTAATGTTTGGTTTAAATTTCGGGGATGAAATTCTTTAAGGGGAGAGGCTATAGCATTTCTGGTTTGAACCCGACCCATTTGATATTTTGGATCTTGGTTTCATTGTCATATACAGTTATTCATGTCTTGTTTCTCATTGTATCTTTTTGAGTTTGGCTTTTAGGATGTGTTGATTGCGTTTGGAACAGGTTGGTAGCTTGTTTTTCAAACTTTTGGCCTAGATTTTGGTCCATTCGCTTGAGCGAAACTTCTTGCGCTCGAGCAGTCTTTGTGAACCTCCAGTACTTTTGCAAATTTGGAAAAACATTGAGAGTTTGCATTCTTTGCTCGAATAAAGCTTCTTGCTCTCAAGCGACGACCTTGGTCTGCAAAAATATTGGGATTTTGTATTCTACGCTCGAGCGGTAAAACTTATTGTGTTTGGTTGCTAGAGCTATCATCTTGTGCTCAAGCGAACTGTGCGTATATTAGTTCGTAAACAGCTCATTTTAAGTCACTTTTTCATCTCTCTCTCTCTCTCTAAACATTTCAAAATCCTAATATCTCTCACATTCTCTCTCTAAGACTCACATATTTCCCTTAAATATACCTAGATCTGTTGATCTTTTCACTCGTGTGCCTTTGTTAAAAAGTTAGAGCTCAACGTGGGCTTCATTCTAACTGGAGCAACGTTGGTTTTTGGCGTCTTTGGGTTTCCTCACTCTCTCGCTCATGTTCTAGCTTGAGGTAGGGATACTTTTCACACATTTTTTTTTTCACGAGTTTTAACTTAGTTATTTGTCATTTCTAGACCATATTGTGAATTAGAAAGATTTGGAACAAATCTAGGGTTTTGGATGAAAATCAAAAGAGGGGTTTTTCAAATAGATTCTTGGAAATGATTTTGATGTTGGAAATAATGTTGAGTTGAGTGGAAATGATGATTTTGAAAAAAGTAAGATTTTTTTCCTAAATGCCTCAAATGTTGGTTTTGTATAAATAATGAAATTGATGTTGAAATTATGAAATTGGATTGGTATTGATGAGGATGGTAGGATATGTATTATCACTCACCTCTTAAAATTTGGAAAGTTTATCTTTATGGAATATAAATTATCTGTTTAGAAATATCTGTTTGGGGCTATCGGTGGAGGATAGCTATGATTGTTGTAGAAATTACATGTGAATTAGAAGAATTGAAACAATTTCCTCATTCATTGGCATTGACCATTATCCTACACTTATATATTGAAAATGTTACTGTTTTGAGAAAATGGGTGAATCTAGTAAAGGAATTATTGTTACATTAAACAAGTTGGCTTGTGTGTCTTGGGTGAAAGTCTCAAAAACCGCACGTATACAAGGGTGCCAATCCTGCGGATGAAATTTTCGTGAAATGGCAATAGTAGTGTTTGTATAGCCTACGTTTACATAGGTTCCGGCTTACGGTTTCCTCTAGACGAAATTTCTGGAAAAGGTAGTATTGTTTTGAAATTTCTAGAGTGTGATTCACTACCCCATTTTCTAATGTAATGGAAATGATTTATGAGTCAATATATATATATATATATATATACTTGGTATTGCATAGTTTTGTAAAGACGTATAAAAATGTTTTGACACGAGCATTGCATTTGCATTCACCTTATAGTTTTGTTAAGATTCATATACTGTATTTGATTATTTCTATTGGACTTTGGTTCACCCTACGTGGAAAAAACATTTCAGGTGCTGATGATATAGCTTGGAAGGACTTGGAGCGAGAGTTTCTTTTTGTGTATTTATTGTATTTATTGTATTTATTTTGTACAAGCCAAGGGCTTTAACTGTATTGAACTTAAGTCCACTTTTGTTGTAACCAAGTATCGTCTTGGACAGCTATAAGCCCTTTGGGCATCTCTTATCTGTTTAACTTCCATTCTTTTTCTTTGGCTCGCAACATATGCTATAGATTCAAGGTCAAGCATTATGAATATGTATCGCATATGTGTCCTTTTTGTAAACTCAATTGGATTTAATGGAAGGTAATTACTTTATCGTTGCTGTCATTTATTGATATTGTGGATGGATTATTATATTTATTTTCGGGCGTTACAAACTGTTTCATAAGACACATTATGTCCTTTCCGATTATTAGTCAATGTGAACTGAACCCCACCCGAAGGCAAATCAATCAAACCATGAACATTCATAAACTCATAAAATCCTTGTCTTCTACAATAGGTCTACTACTCTACCTTGTTTTTAATGAGAATACAGAACTTGATTGAAATCTCTAATCATAACGATCTATTGAATAATAGTTTCAATAAATATGGATACCTGACTTCAAATTTCTAGTCGTAAAGATACATTTGGTTGCCCGTAGAACAAAATAATCACCCAATCCGATTTCCATTCTTCTGA